ATTCCTTCTGCACATTTGGGAATGGAAGAATAAAACCCAGGAAGAGGGGCTTAAATGAAAGAAATCCCAAGGGATTCCATTACCAGTGTTTCCATGGTCACATTCTATATTACAAAATATACATGATACACCTAATTTAGGATCAAAGTATCAGGATCAGATAGACTGAATATTTTAATAAGAATACTTAAAACATTGTTGCATGGATACATGACTGTTTAATATTATATTAGCCACATTATAGAGTCACACGAAGGCTTCTAGTGCTGTATTTCAACCCTATTGTTAGCAAATATATTTCATGTGACTACGTAGATTGAGGTATACATATAGTTCTATATAACCATTTGTATTATGAGGGTGAGAAGATAGTCCTTCACAGTTTATGGTCTACAGTTCCATAGATCACAAATCTGACATTATTTTATGTATGTCACATTTATAGTTTCAACTAGTTTTGAAAAGGGAAATTATATGCTACTGCTAGAACACAGCTTTCTTAGATATCAGAAAAATTCAGCTCTATTTCCTTTGTAATTTTTACTTTTGTATATATTGATATTTTTAAATTTTTAAGTCTCTCGTTCTCAAAAAAAAAATGGGTCAAATGGCAGCATTCTTCAGCAGATGAATGATCTTAAGTCTCAAGAATAGTATGTATTTACTGCACAAGTGCAAAACTACCCAAGACCAATGATTTTTACAATCAGTCTTATGCTTGTAAGACTATATTTTCCTAAAGAGATGACCAAATTCACGGGGCATTAAAGTAACACAAAAACTACTCTCATAGAGAGACTAATAGATATTTTTTGGACTTCTCTACAGTATTCAACACCACAAGATGAAATGTAATGAAAGTCAGTGAACAGTTATGTAATTCAATTTTTCCTTCTGTACATCCTTTCTGCATTAAGGTCAAAAATTGATAGAACAGAATATTTTAGGAAACAAAACCAGGAAGCAGAAAGAAAATCAGTTTCCATAAGGGGATGCCACATATCGGCAAATAGCTGCCCTTTTAAATTTATATAAACCTAAGGATGAACTTACCATCATATAATTTTTTAATGTATTACTGAAGAAGGCAGAATGTTGGATTAATCAACACTATGTCATTTGTTTCTTGCTCAGGTAGGAAGCTTTATAATTAAACACTTCTACAAAGAGATGTTTCCTTTTGTTTTCATTTTTTTTTATTAGTTATCCTTAAAAGGATTCCTTTTACGAATCCAGTTCACTAGTCTGGAGGGGTGAAACTTGCTAATTTGTAAAGGTAAAGGTAAAGGCCCTCCCGTTGTTCATCGATTTGCTCGAGCGGGCCCAGTAACGTCTCCATTGGAGACTTTGTTGTTACTGTGTTTGGCATATCGAATACGTCACGGGGAGCTTGCCAGGCTCTGCCATGCGTGCGAGATACTCTCGGTAGCTTGCAGGGCTCTCTGAGAGGGGCGGAGGAATCGAACTCGGGTCGGCCATGTTGGCTGCGTGCAAGGCAAACGCCCTACTGCTGTGCTATCACTCCAGCCCGCTAATTTGTATGGTTGATTTTTCATGAAAGTTGAAAAGGCCTAGTCTTGACCTTTTGTTATTTCATAAGAAGGTATGATCCTGCTTATAAATGTTTCTTACTGTGAAATGCTCAGAATGTGAGGCTGCCAGGGTTGTTTCTGGCAGTTTGATAATGGCGTGCATAGTTGGCTTTCTATCCCTGTCCTAGATGATCAAACCTTTATCTCAACCAATGATTCTCTTTAGTTAGCCACTTTATATTCAGTCTCTATCCTCTAATATTTCTATCTTCCAATTATTATAAAATAAAAGACTAATATAATAGACTAACAGTAGCCATGAAGTGCTTGCTACTTTACATAAAGGTTACCTGATAATTTCAACATCTTTAATCTCTAATACCATCCGATATTTAGCCTTTATGCAGTTCATCTTCCTACCAGAATCAATAGTATCACAATATCCAGACAATAGCACAGGAAAGCACACGATTACTTTTGTGAGCTGAAATCCTCTTCCTGAACATATAAAATATTTTAACTCAAAATTCTGTCAACTATTCCCAGCACAGGAAATTCTTAAGGAAGCATGTATATGTTACTTCCTAAAAGCAACTTTTATACTCTCATTCATAAAATGTGTATGAACCAAAACAGCTAGGCACAATGCCATAGATAACTAGAAATGACCCTGTGTTATACAAATTGTATCTTTTTCCTAATTGTAAAGAAACAATGTACAAAACTACTCTTGTATAGAAACAATGTACAAATCAAAGTTTGTTTCTCACTTTTCACCATGTTTGTGGCACTGTGTGTCATAGTGAAGTAACCAAGAAGTGGTGAGGGAACTTTGATTTTCAAAGGGCATTAATAGTTTATAGACAATTTTTTTCCAAGGCCTCTTTGTTTACGGTATGGACAGGTGTTGTGTGTCCAGATTTAAGTATTATATTGCATAAGTTATCTTCAGCCTAATAAAATTGTAATGCCCTTGCAATATTTAATGTGTAGAAAGTGTTGTTAGTAAATCATCTTTAGATGATTAAAGAAGATTATAAACAGAACTGCACAATTATGAATGCACACATCCAGTTTGGTTCTTTGCTGTTAAACGAGAAACAGTTTCTTTACATTATGGTCTTCACACTTCTTGATTTTTCCATTTGTCTGCCAATATAAAACAACAAATACAAAAGTGCACTGCCCAACCCCATGGTAAATTATGATTCCTTTCTGGGGCTGTGTGTCCTCCCTTAGTTATTTTGTGTTTGGGGTCATCCCTAGTGGTGTTCTGGGCTTACTCCTGGCTATGCACTCAGAGATCAATGCTGGGGGGCTCAGAGGATCATATGTACTGCCAGGGATTGATTGAAGCTTCTCCAGCTTAGTGCAAAAGTCCTACATGAGGGGACACTAGCACTACATTTAGTTCTACTAGAAATCATTCCAATATATTTCTAGAACCTTGTCTAGAATGGTTGATGCTTTTGAAAACTCATCAAAATCTGTCACATTGTAGGCAAGTACATACATAGGCAGACTGACAATATTGTTGCCTACCCTCAAGCTTTCTGATTCAGGTTAAGAGTCAGGTTTAAGGGGCTGGAGTGACAGCACAGCGGGTAGGGCGTTTGCCTTACATGTGGCTGACCCAGGTTCGATTCTTAGCATCCCATATGGTCTCCTAAGCACCTCCAGGAGTAATTTCTGATTGTATGAGCCAGGAGTAATCGCTGTGCATCGCTGGGTGTGACAGAAAAAGCAAAAAAAAAAAAAGTGAAGTTGTGAAGTTCAATAATTTGTATGTCTCTTAAGTACCAAGGTGATACTAATTTTGTAGGAAATGTAGATCTATACCAAGCTGATAAACTTGTTCTGTGTCCTGGCAAGTCCCTCCACATTTCGTCAACTTCAGGGTCTCAATATATAAAATGTGGAAACTAGCCTAGAAGTATGTTGTTCAGATTATTTTAAGCAGCAAAATCATTTTGCAGAAGAAATCCTCAAAGAATCCAGATACATACAGAAGAGGCTTACAAAACCCAGACTTCTGCAGATAAGTGGTAAAGGAAACCAAGAGCTAACACCACCTGTCTCCCCAGGAATATACTTTGAACTATTTCCCATAGTACACATACACAAATTCTTTAACTAGATGTAGTCTGGCTGATAAAAGGCAGCATCTGTCACTAATGCAAGAGAAGGAAATGGTGGAGAAAAACCAACTTTGAATTAGGCAGTGGAAGAGACTTCTTTATCTATGCCTAACGACAGGATAAGAATTGGGTCACTGGGCTCATGTCACTTTAACAATATAGTTATACCTTTGGAACATCTCTAGAAAGTGTTATGGGTCAGGAATATGGCTGAAGTGGTAGGACACATGCCTTGCATGTATTGAGGCCCTGGAACTCCACCCCCAGCACCACAAAACCTTGGGTGAAGATGGACTATAAATAACTCGAAAGCAACGTCAAAACAAAATAATATATGCATACCAATAAAAAGTATTCAAGACATATTTTAAGAGGTTTTAGGGAACAGTGTAGAATTCCTAACTGTACCTAAAACTCCTAACTCTGCTCTGATAATATTCCCTCTAAATTCCTCCTGGTTTCATTCAAACCATAAGTTCTCTCCTTTTTATCATTCATTTTCTTCCAGAGTAGAATGCTGTATGATTCTGTACTTTCCCTACTTTGAAACTAAAGTTGCCATCATAACGATGCCATTCTTTCACCCAGTTATCATGCTCTATGGTGTGGGTATATTGGATACTAGTCAGATGAGATCTGTGAACTACCACACTAAAAATATCACCTTGAGAAAAACAAAGAACTCATGTCATGCACGGAACTCCCTCAGATGATCATGACTCCTAATTTTCTTGCTTGGCACAGTTCTGAGACTAAGAACATGGTTTATTCATCCATATCTACTGGCAGCTCCAGACTGAATAACAGGGTAACCACTCTGATTATCTGAGAAAAAATGGTGGCCATAGAGAACACTGGTCCCTAAAACTCTGGCTTCAACAACTAGCATATGAAGTTCATTCTACCTTTTCTAGGTAACAGAAGGCAAAAGTGCTAAGATTCATTTTGGAGTTTTAGCTGCCTTTTGGTGCCCAGGGAGGGCAGATAGAGAAATGAGTCAGAGCCTGTTGAGCAACAGCAAAAAGGTCTGGATAGTTCCACTATCAGGGAGGTTCTGAGCTGTCTGAGCTCTGTAGCCAGCATATTTCTCTGGAGCCTATGCTTACAAGTTGAGCTGGCCCCACACAACAATGGAGGGAATGCAGAGATGGCTTGAGGTAGGCAGAGGTAGGAGAGAAGGCTAGTGGTGGGAATAATTAAGGGCAGTGGTCCAAGGGACTCCAGGAATCAGCTCCCACTGAAACTTTCTTTCTTTGGAGCCTCCGGATTAAAACATTCTACATAAGTATTGATCTGCCCCAGCACACACCTCATCTCACAAACACCAGAACAATATTGATCTGTTTATTGTTTTCCAAAATAAAATTTTAAAAAGCCCCAAATATAATCATAATTCCAATGTGATAGAAAGCTGAGCTTAGGTGAATGATGAAGGCTGTCTCCCAGGTTGTTTCATGGAGCCTCAGGTACACTGGGGTTAGGGGTGGGAGAGGCTGCTGCTCCAGCAGAGCTGGATGAACACTTGCAACAGGGCAGGCATCAGAAGAGCTGCAGGCCCATTTTGAGCCCATGCAGCTGTTCCTGGCTCCAAAGAAGGCCCTCCAACTTACTGCTGCTGTCACTGCCATTGCTGCAGTTGCCACTGCTAATGCCACAGCTCAAGCCCAGGGTACTGTGGAGAGAGGGTAAGGGTCAGTCAGGGAAGGAGGCAGTTTTAGAATCTGGAAAGACTTGGTAAGTTTTTATGGATAAGGAACACCCCCCCCCCCCATCTACCTGACTTTACAAAGAGACTGGAGCCAACCTGAGAGATTAGATGGGCCCCAGGGTGACTCTGCTTTGCTTGGTTGAGGAAACAGAACATTCCAAATGACATTTTATGCAGAGCGCCAGTACATAGGCCAGATTAAAGCACAGCTATTTTGACTGGGATAGGAGAGAACCCAAAAGCCTGGAAGATATTAAAAATGGTTAAAAGACATTTTTCTAAGACCCTAGAACCTGTGGGCTCTGAGAGGTCTGGAATGGATCCCGCTCTCCTTCCTACTATAGACGTTGTAGGAATTGGGCCATGTAAGCTTCCTTATAGATCTAATAACTCCACCTACCTAGTCTACACTACACCCTTGATACCCTGGTGCTTACTTAGTATTACCCAAAGGGAGTGGGTATCTCTCTCATACTCTCACATATGTGCCCTACTCCCAACTACAAGCTACCTAACTTCTCCAGCTTCCTTCTCACTTTAACAGGCCTGTTGTCATCTGGCCTAGGACACACAACACTCACTGATTTCGGTCTGGCATACTATTAGGGGTTGCTGGGTTCCATGTTCTTCTTCTCAAATGTACAGAAAAAGAGGGGCTCATCTACTAGTGAGTGAGCAAATAATCCAGGGATAAACTGTGCCCACAACGATCTCTCTGGTATTCAGATTTCTCCTGGTCCCAATGATCCCAGATTCTGGGATATACAGGCCATCTGGATGGGCTCTTTGTGCAACCAGCAGAGCCCCCTCAGCAAGAATTGCCTGAGTTATGCTTCCCTGATGACCTAAGGGTCCCCACACCAGTGATTCAGAGATCAGTTTCAAGGGAGAGCAAAGAGCCCTGTGCAGGCCTTTCTACCAAGATGTCTGGACAATGCAATGAGGCCTAATGATTACTATGAACCTTTCAAACTTTTGACAAATCCCTTTTCCTCTTATGGGCCTCAATTTTTTTCCTCAGGAACCTGAGTAGCATCCATTACTGACTGAATTTTTGGGGTAGTGGGTGCCAGTTATCAACCAAGGTAAGCCACTTGCAAGCCCTACCTGCTATACTACCATTATTGACCTTGTGGGAGTAGTGGACCCTTTTAAGAAACCTGTTGAAAGCTACAATTTCTTTTCCCCAAAGCGCACACACACACACACACACACACACACACACACACACACACACAGGCACAGGCACACATGCGTATGCGTATGCATACATGCACACACACACACACACACACACACACACACGCACACTGCAACCTGAAGACTGCAAAGCCAATTCTGCATGGCTTTCTGACTGGGGGCATGCACTGGGAGTCCTAGCAGACTCAGTCAGGGACCAGACTTTACTCATCCCACTTTATGTCCTTCCTTCATCCCTTAATTCCTTCAACAGGAGACAGAAAGGACTGAGAAATTCTACTGACATTGGCACTCACCCAGTCTTGCACTTTAGGGGTTCCAGTCGCTGCTCTAGCACAGGCTGATCCAACAGATACATGGTGTCATAATTCTCTAGCATCAGCTCTGCTGGGTCCTCAGTCTGGCCAGGCATTCGGCCTAATGGGAATGTGTCCCATCGCACATCTTCTGCAGAGCAAAGGGAAAGACAAGACTGGGTTAAGTTATCTGGTCCTCAGATGAGGACACAGATCAACCTAACCTGTTTTATCCATGTATCTCACCCAGAGATTATGTACTGACTGTTAATCACCATGTATGTTCACCCATTCCATATGCCATTTATAGCCTGTTTTCCCTTCTGTGTACAGAGAGAGAGATGCCATGCCACATATTCTATACACAAGAATAAACTACAGACCTTTTTGTTTCTATTTACTCTTTCCACATTATTCCAGATTGAAGGTCACACCTTAGTGGTCCTGACTTGATATATATACATATCACCCCAGGATAGTCTCTCTAAGGACATGCTTCCTGCTAGATTTTCCTGTGCCAAGGTGCACAATGCACATCCCTTTTCTACAAATGAGTTATCTTCTTGTATACCCTCTGCCCTACTGTGCCTAAAGTATACAAACTTAAGCTTGGTCTGTATATATAATTGACCAAACCATTCATTCAATGAATGCTCCCAGTTTCGCATGAAATGAATTCATTTCCTGTAGACAGACAAAATAGCAATCTTAATATCCCTGCACCCTCATAGGAATCAATGCCTTAGCCTTTCCATATTCAAAAGTAACTTGTTCTCCTACCCGCCACCTCAATACTCCACTTTATTATTTTTTTTTATTTATTTATTGAATCACTGTGGGAAAGGTTACAAAGCTTTCAGGTTTATGTCTCAGTCATGCAAATATCAAACACTTTACCAATACTTATTTTTTACCCTGAAGAACCCCAATAAAACCCCACCCCCACCCCTCCCCGTCCCTGTGAGGCAGATGAATTCTAGTTAACACTCTATCTGCTTTGATTAGATTCATTATTTCAATAAGATTCACCACTATTATTTAGAGTTTACCCCCCCCCCAAATCAGACATGCTGAAAAAGCATTGTGAAGTGATTTGCTTTCTACAGCTGGGTTCAAGAATTAAATGTTGGTTTTGGATTTCTGCTATTTTACCTATTGACCCTGGAAGTATTTCTACTGAAAGTCAGATAGTTAAGAAATTGGTTTCTGTGTTCTGGAGTCGTGGCCGTGCTGGAGAGCCGCTCGCGGGGGGCAACCGGTGGCCTCGGTAGGGCGTGAAGGGCGGAGCGAAACGCCCCCCTTCCCATGAGGTTTTAGTCACCCCCACACTCCCGGCTCATACCTGCTGTCCACAAGGCTCCCATGTGGCTTCCATCTTTCTTTCCAGAGAGGAGAGGGCGAATGGGGCAACACCCTTTCCCCTCCGGCAGACTTGCTGGGCTGGATCAATGCATAGTCCGTTCACTTTTCTGCTCCAAGCTGCTGGGTTCTGCATTAAGTCCTTGTGCTTCTGGGGCCATGGCCGTGCTGGAGAGCCGGTCCGTCCTTCAAATCCAGGTCGGCCGCGTGCAAGGCAAATGCCCTACCTGCTGTGCTATTGCTCCAGCCCTCTCCTCACAGTATTATATAAAAATCTACACCCCTCACTTACACCAGTGTATTCAGTCTTTTAAAGAAAAGCCTTCAATAATTAGCAACTCCAGTTTGATTCATTTGCTTGCCTTCAACATCTCCCTGGTATCCAAAGAATTTTCTCTGTCTACCTAGCAAGTATTTAGGATTAGGAAAGCATCAACAATAGAATTCCTTCTGCCTGCCCTTCCTGTGGGTTTTTTACAAGGAAAGAAGTTGTGCTATCTAACGGTCTGTATTATCTTATACCCTGCATAAAGATATTGTCATACACAGGGACCACAATTCTCCCTGTGTATGTTAGGGGCTGGTCACCCTTCCTCCCCATTACTAACATGAGTAACCTTGCCTACATCACTGCCCCTGACTCTCTAGTTTGACATATATACATATGGACAGTCAATGATACCGTGAGCATATACATGTCATCTCTGAATAAATACCTCACTCTCTATTTCCATGCCTCTCCATATGGTTACACCTGTTACTGCTGCCAATTCTCTACCTTTTGGCCCCCATAAGTCTTAGATACCTCCTGGCCCCCATAAGTCTTGGATACCCTGCCACTTCTCCCAAATACATAAACAACCAATTGTACACATGCAATATACAGATGCATATACAAAGTCACTTCACAATGACTTTTTTTTTGGGGGGGGGGTATTGGGGGGGAAACCAGTGGTGCTCAGCAGTTACTCCTAGATCCCTGGGGTTCCTGCATGAAGGTGTTTTCTATTTTCTGCTCTCTACTCTCCCTTTTACAAACATACATACAAACATACAGAAGCACACTCTACCTGTATTTCAAAATTTGCAAAGACCCCCAAACACATACATCTTTGCCCTAAGACATTTCTCTGTCACTGTCTGTAAAAATACATGCAGATACACACAAATTAATGCACACAGACATAAAATAGATCCCACCAGCATTCAGCATCTTTATGCTCAAGCTTTTTTGTACACATGCACACAGAAAGGTGAAAGACTCCTCCTTTTTTTCCTAAGTTTCTTCATGGTCTTCGTTCTCTCTTTATTCCTTATAATGCTCACCCTAAGCCAAAGTATCAACTATGTTTCCTCCCTCCACCTCCATTATGTAAGATTTACCTAGATCCACTTCTTCCTTCAGTGTATGCATACATACTTGCACACTCACATAAAAAAATTAATTTCTTTTTTAATTTTTATTAGTGAGACACCATGAGGTACAGTAGAAGTGAAATTAGTTTATTTTGTTAATGTTTCTGCTGTTTCTGCTTCCTAAATGAGGTATTCAAAATGTTACCCTCAAGATAAACAGATTCATGTACCCATACTTTCTGATCACCGAACCCTTCCCACCGCTCTCAGTTTTGTCTAGTATGTTAACTTAAGATCATGTCACTCCTTATTCTCCTCTGATCTCATTTCCATCTCTGAGTTCCTTCTTTCTCATATAAATGGCAAAACCATCTTTCATCACCACCCAGCCACCATGTACAGTAGGAAGGTTCACAAACTCACATATACAGAGAACATCTTATTTCCCTTTTTCAGAATAACTGCAAGTGAAAAATAAAGATTCATACATGTATCTACCCCAACTCTCTCTGCCTCTGCCCCATGCCTATATCATACCTTCAGAATATGCTCTCTGCATGATGCAGTCAGCACTATTACAATACTTTAGGTACCTGGCACATACACACTCCATCGTACAGGGGAAGCTAGTCAGCTCTCACCCACACACCAAGCTACCTCCTAGGTTTGCCTCCACTCTTTACCTCCGACTTTCCATTTCTTCTGTAGGGTGGAGGGAAGCTTCAAGAGCCAGCAGAAAGGAAAGATTAATAAAGGGACAAAGAGGATTATCAGTACTCTTACCTGAACTAACTTGCCATGTAGAGCCCTGCAAAATTCCTCTTTTCTGGGCTAGGAGCCTGGCATTCTCAATAGTTGGAGACTCCTCCCCAATTGAAAAAGGTACCACCTCCATTCTCTCTTCATCTTCATCATCTTCATCATCATCATCTTCCTCATCATCATCTTCCTCATCATCATCTTCCTCCCCCTCCTCCTCTTCATCCTCCTCCCATTTCTTCTGGGCAACATTTTCGTCTTCCTCCTCAACCGGATCTTCTAACATCTCTTTATCCTCCTCATCTTCCTTGATATCACTAATATTTCCCTGTTCCTTCTGCTGTTGTGCTTCTCCTGCAAGTCCAGAGCTGGAGCCACCTGGTTTAATGCTCCAATACAGGCTATCCAGTGTGTAAGGAGAAGTCCCATAACGGGTCATCTTTGAGCCTTCCTGTACCATGCTGTTTTCTCCACTCTGAGTATAAATGGAACAGATGCACAGCAACTTCTCCTGTTCCTCATCGGGCAGGATCTGTCCCATGGCTTTGAAGACACTGACCAAAGGGAGAGATATGATAGGAGTCAAAAAGTTGCTTCAAACCCCAACACTTTAGGATTTGAAAGGCAGTGTGATATAACAGAGAAAACAGAAAGAAGATCATGGAATCTGAACAAGTTCTGTGATCCATCTCTATGACTCACTCCAGTAAAATGAAAGTAATGCACCTGCCTTACGGATTTGTGGGGAATTAAAAAGATGACTCAACGATCTCACAAGGGTATCTCAGAGGGTGCCGATATTCTCTCTCCACCCACTCCAAATGAACCCCTACTGGCGACAAACTTCCAGAAGAAAACCCCAGGTACACAGGACCAGGGACTGAAGACTCCAGACCACATGGCGGCGGGTATGGATCATGCGTTTTTGTCTCTCAGCCCCTGTGGGGTCCTGGCTCTCACACCCACGAACTGCCTAGGGGTGCCATTTATGCGAGTCAATGGTCTTGATCCAGACACTCACAAATGACCTTGGAATGGATTAGCTCTCTACAAAGATGTCTGCAGACCCCAATCATTTACAATTTTAGAATTCCAGGAGCACGCAGCTGCAAAAGCAGCTGCACGACCTCTCATGATATTCATAATAAGCAATAGAAAATAAAGTATCAAAATTTGCCTGTAGTAGGCAGGCTTGAGTGGTGGTGGGAAAATTCAAAGTAATGATAGTGGGAAGGTGGTATGGACAACTACAGCCTTGCCTAAAATGGAGGGGAAAAAACGCAGCTGGAGCTGGACAGATGTACAACAGGTAGAGCACTTGCCTTGCACACAGCCAATCTGGTTTCAATCCCCAGAATCCCATTGCGTACCCCAAGCAAAGCACTACCAGGAATAATTCCTGAGTAGAGCCAGGAGTAACCCCTGAGCATTGACGGCTGTGGCCCGGAAACAAGCAAACAAAAAATACAGCATCTGATAAAACAAAGCAAGATGTGGGAAGGAGGTCAGATAAGCCTTGCAATCCTAACACACTATAAGATATAGGGGGAAGTAGAAGGGCAATAGAGTTCAAGGAAAGGCTTACTGCAGACAAGAGCTAGCTTACTGTGCTCTGTGTGTGATAAGGAGCCTGGCTTGAGGGAACTGTACTAAGGAGCTGTGGGAGGAAGAGAAGGCTGCGAAGGTTGTGTTTATGTTAAAAGCATCAGAGGATGTCACCTGTCTCTTGAGCACTGGTGAAGGACACATTTCTGAAGACCACCACAGTGCTCCTATGGAGAACGGCTTAAAGGAGACAGCATTAAGGTAGGGAGACTACGAAGAGTTCTTGAGGGATGACCTTAGATACTGGCAGTGGAGAGATGGAAAGAAGCTGTGAAGGAGACAGAGAGCAGGATTTTGGAACTATATGGCAGAAAAGAGATGATTACACTGTGCACACACACAGGACAGTGCTATCAGCAAAATTAACAAATACAAAGACATCGGTAGGGAAGAACTAGGAAGGGAGTGAGCACCTGTGCAGAGTGCCATAAACCTGTGCAGCTAGGAGGCACCCTGTCACTACTAGAGGCTGGGGCTAGGTTATTAGATGGAAAAGTTTCCTTCTAAAGCATAGAATTTGAAGTGTGTATCAGCAGTCAGATTGATGATGAATCCTTGTCTCATCATCAACAAACTGATCTTTGATTAAGTCACTTTCCTCCTCAAAGCCTCAATGTCTTTCTATCAAAGGTATAATTCCTCAGGACCAGAAAGAGAATGAGCAGGCAAGGCACTTGCCTTGCACACAGCTGACCCAGGTTCAATCCCTGGACCCCAAGCCTCATCAGGAGTGAAACCTGAACAAAGAGCCAGGAGTAAGGCCTGAACATCACCAGCTGTGGCCCCAAATGACAACAAAAAGGTTACAATTCCTCTACCTCCAAGGAATGTTATATCAAATAAAATCAATAGTTTTTACAGGAAAAAAGAAAACAGCATTATTCCTGATCCTTAGTTGCCAGTGGTGTATTTTATTTTTCATCTGGGAAAAACACTCAAGTTTTATCTGTGCCTAATAACACAAGTTTTTCTCCAACTGTACAATTTAATGAAACACTGTAAAAATGACACAGGAGAAAGGGAAGTGTATTTAGAGTTTTAGGTAAATCCCAGATTCCAGCCCTAACTTGCAGACTTAACTTTCAGCTATGATAATTTCCTTCTGTAAAATAGAATGGTTTAGACAAGATTCATTATGTGGGAAAAGCAAGATCTATGCACAAGGAATTGTACCCAATTAAGCTGCTCTTACTGCAGGCTTGTGTCACATTCTTCTAGTATGCTTGGGTTAGGAGGTCTCTTGATTCAGACTTCTCCAAGACCAGCACTCTGTAGGCATTAAGGATTGGAAAGGACCTTGAAAGCCACCTTCCCAAACCTCTCCAAGGTGCTCTTCACTCCCACCCCATATTCAATACATAAACCATGTTCCTTCTGAACTTTGAAACTTCCTTTATTCTTTCTCCTGCTAAAACGTCTCTAGTAATGATTTTCTGACCCATTCGGGCCTTTTTGGTTTTACTCCTATTATCCCACCCATCCATATCACTACACAACTGAATATTTGGCTCTTTGCTTCAGATCCACCTATAAAGATTTTTCCTGCTTACTCTTCAAGTCTGTGTTCTCCCTTGAACAGGCATCTTACTTGCTTGTATCTATGTTCCTTGCTTTCTTATTCACCTATGTCTAAGCAAATTTATTTTATTTTTAAAGATTACCTGGCTTTGAGGCTAGAGTAGAGTGGATATGGTGCTTTTCCTGTTAGCAGCCGACATGGCTTTGTTCCCCAGCACCCCATATAATCTCCTAAGTGCCACCAAGAGTAATTTCTGAGTGCAGATCCAGCAGTAATCCCTGAGCATCACTGGGTATGGCACACCCTCCACCCACCCAAAAAAGCTGTTTTCTCTCATTCTAGAAGAGAATGTGGGAGCCCTCAAATTACTTCAGGCCTTAAGAAAGACTTTGTGGGAGAATCTGTAGCACTGTAGCACTGTCTTCCCGCTGTTCATTGATTTGCTCAAGCAGGCACCAGTAATGTCTCCACTTGAGACTTGTTATTACTGTTTTTGGCATATCAAATATGTCACAGGTAGCTTGCCAGGCTTTGCCATGAGGGCGGAATACTCTCAGTAGCTTGCCGGGCTCTCCGAGAGGGGTGGAGGAATCAAAACTGGATCTGCCGTGTGCAAGGCAAACACCTTACCTGCTGTGCTATCGTTCCAGCCTGAGGGAGAATCAAATACCTCCAATTTTTTCATTCCCAGTACGGAGTCAGATCAGATCCCAACAAAGACAGTACTGCTGCAAGAAGGCAGCCGACTTTCGTTTAATTCTAGTTGTTTTTTAGTACATTTAATGATGCCTGTTTGGGGCTTGGACTTGTGTGAAATTCTGAAGGAAGATATGGCTAATGTAAAGCCCTTGACTTTAGTTTGTTGGAGGGAAGAGACACTATAAGTTTAGCTTGTTGGAGGGAAGAGACACTATGTAAAACAGAAAAAGGCAAGACAAAATCTCAGATTTAGAAAGAATCTTAAATATTCAATGAGACAGAGTAGATGATATCACCAATAAATTAACTAGGGAATATATGAGACAAAGATCACTTTGGGGCTGGGGTGGGTAATAAGATGATCAATTCTTTCACACTTAGTGAAGGGCCTATATCCCATCGATTGGAAGATAAGGCCTGAGTTAGTGATTTGAGCCTCAGCATTTTATAGGAACATGTTTACATAAAAATAAAAGGCATTAGGCTAGAGAGACAGTACAGAATGTACTGTACAGAATGTTTGCCTTGTACATGACCAACACAGGTTAGATTCCTGGCACCATAGATGGTTCCTTGTGAGATGCCAGGATGAGTTTCAACAGGTGTGGCCCCCAAACCAAAATTAATAAAAGGAATTTCAAAGGGTGGTACATAGCATCAATAGAGTGGATATAGCAGTGGACAAGGGCTCAGTGGATATTGTAGTCAAGCCAAAGGAGCTCTGATAATGAATGCCAAACTGCAGAAGGCCAAAGAATAAGAGCATGTAATAGAAATTTTAAGACTGTTTAATGCAGACTTTATTTGTGCAATGTTTTAAGAGGAAGGGAGGAATAATAATAAACTGGTAATAACTCAACAGAAAGACACAAGTTTGGGTGAGAGAGATAGTTCAGCTGGTAGGGCATTTTCCTTGCATGTAGGTGACCAAGGTTTGATCCCCGGCATCCCATAGGGTCCCCTGAGCACCACCAGGAGTAATGCCTGATTGCAGACACAGGAGTCACCCTGAGCATCGCCGGGTGTTACCCCAAAACCAAAAATAAAAGATGCAAAGTCAATGGAGATTTTGCTTGTGTTGTTTTGTTTTCAGATGAGAAATATCCAGGTCATTCACAGGTTGAAATGCAAAAGTCAGTAGAGCAAGGAAAAGGCTGGAATAAGTCAACCCAAAAATATTCACTCCAGTGCACAGATGGAAGAAACTTTGAGGAAGGCCTTCTCATTCTGAAACTGGCAAGAGCACCAGCTGAGAGTTGAGAGTACCACAAATCAATTCATGAGATCTGGACCTCAAATTGAAGGGACCCCATTGTATATCTCCAAGTGTTTGAGGATAGTAGGGTAAAAGTGGAGAGGAGGATGGGTTTGAGGTGAACAGTAAGGAATTAGAATGGGCAAAAAATGAGAAAGCGGGCAGAAAACAAGTACAGGCAATCAAAACTGAAGCCTGATCCAAGATTAAAAATCTTAGCTCTACAGGGGCTGCAACAATAGTATATAGCAGGTAGGGTGCTTGCCTAGAATGTGGATAAGCCAAGTTTGATCCCCAGCACTACATATGGTACCCCAAGCTCTGCCAGAAGTGATCACTGGTGTGGCCCAAGCCCCCCACTGCTCCTGCCCACCAAAAAAAAAATCATATCTCTATAGCAGCAGCAATCTACAATGCTATGTTGTTTTCTCCAGTAGAGCTTGGATAACCTGGCTGAGGAGTAGGGGGAGTAGAGTAGAAGTATCAATCCTAGCTGGAAAATTCCAAGTCAGAAATATCAAAGATGTGGTGGGCTGAGGTTACTGATAACTGGCTGAAGTCACCAACCAAAGACAGAACCAAGAGAAGTAAGGTTAAGAGAAAATAAAATGGGATAGATGTCTGGATGCAGGCAAAGAGCAGAATACAAGTGTTCTGAGAACAGGAAGGACAAGAGATAGCAGTCAATGAGTAGGATGTTTGGATATCAGATTTAAGAGGCAGAAACAGGCTGAGTGACGGAAATGGGTAGCTGGATGTTACGGAAAATGAAGGTCACTTGCTTGAGGATCTAGGAGTGTCCGTCAGATGAAAGAAATGTTCTAGGAAGCAAAGAAATACTTTGTTGCTAAAGGTTCCCATGAATAAGACAAAGTAGGGAAAATGAAAGGGAGATGATCATAGGTATTTAAAAGAACAATTTGACCAGGATAGATTAGGTAAAGTGGAATTGCAAGAGGCATGCATGACTACCAAGACTGATTCAGGAAGAATCAGAAAGATCTTCCCATGTCAGGCTAAGAAGCCTTCATCAGGAAGGCAGTTGATGAAGTCTAGATGTCATCAGAAGGTTGCTGAAGAGCCAAAGTAATAGTACAGTGTGTATGGTGTTTTCCTTGCATCCAGCTGAACTGGATCCAATCCCTAGTACCCCATAAGGCCCACCGAGAGCAACAGGATTGATTCTTGACAACAGAGTCAGGATAAAGAATTGAGCATTGCCAGGTGCCGCCCCCCCCCCAAAAAAAATACCATAAAAATGATGGTTATTGAGTTCTTATGAGAAATATATTTTGGGAAGACAATGAGGAGACACCAGTGAGCTTGAATGTTACAAGACTTGGTTCCCTTATAAGTAATAGCTTATTTTTTACTGTGCACTTACTCCGTACACACCACATGCTAAGTACTCTATGGGTTGGTCTCATCTCATCCATTTTCATGCGAGACTCAGTTCAATACAGATTTAGCTGTGTGATCTTGGATAAGAATACTTTACCCCTACCCTTCCATGGTTTTCCCATTAGTTAGTAAAAAGGGGTTAGAACTTGATATCCTTGCAAGGGCTTAATACAACTGTACCATTCTAGACCTCTGGGGCCCTAGTTAGGGGGTATAGGTCCTCACCCTCTCACTAGATGAAATTCAAGAGACTTACAGCTGAAGGAGTTGGGGGCTGGCCCAGCAAGGTGAGCCCAAACAAGACTCAATCACCCGGGGCCAGTCAAGGGACGCAGAACAATTGAACAGCCTCCAGCTCCTTCTCACTTCCCATTGGCTTGCAGAAAATCGGCGAGCATTTCGTCCTGAGAGAGGAGAAAGAACCTGAGGAGAAGGAGATGGTAAGCCCCCTACCCAACCATATACCTTAAAAAAAAACTTGTCTCTCTCCCTCCCCATCCCCCTAGACCCCCACTCTATACCTCCCAATTGCTCAAAGCATTCAGGGTGCTTTGCCCCAGCTCAGTTTAGTTGACTCTGAGAAGAAAAAGGTGGAGTGAGATTTGTCCACTGCTGACACAGGGCTTTCTTGAGCAAAAACCTTTAATAAGGGATGTGTCTGCCTGGTGCTATTCAGCTGAAAATTGTGGACAGTGGCAGCTGCTCCTGCCTGGGCTGCATTAGGGGTAGGGCTAGTCTCCCTCACCAGTCTTGGTGTTAGCCACGATCAGCTCAATGGTCCATCTCAGGATGTAGGTGGGTCGGATTCCACTGTCCCCCAAGGCTGGCAGCTCAGAGAGCATCCTCTCCAGCAGGGCCTGCGTGAAGGTCTGGGAGTGTAGGCCCCTGAGTAGGGGCTGCCAGAATTGAGAGAACGGCTTTGGCACCAGAACATCATTCAAATCCATGTTTTCTGGTTTGTGAGGGACACCCGTTGACAGGGAAACAGGAAATGGGATCAATGGGAAAGAGGTAAGGTAAATGGGAAGGTTGGAAGAGAACAGAGGAGATGGGGAGAGTGGAATAGGAGAGAAGGGGGAAGGGAAGGAGAAAGGAGCCCCACCAACACCAACAACAGAGTTGCCACCGCAGAACAGGAAGAAAGAGGAAAGCAGAACATCGGGGAGAGAAAGAAGTTAGTAATCTGGCAACCAATAACTGACTCAAAATAGTATAAAAGAAAAAGAACACTGGTTCTAACTTCGACTATGTCAACAACTCACTGTGTGACTTTAGATCAGTACCTTTCCCTCTCTGGACCTCAGTCTGCCCATCTGTAACATGATGTTGAACTAGATGACCTCAAAAATCCCTTGCCGCTTTGCTTTTCTACCTCTCTAGCAAGTGGCTAAATCACAATCAACAGAGTACAATAATGACATTGAGTTTCCCACCCTACCTGCCCTGCCCTCAATTCCAGGCAATCTAAAGATGGCCGAGCTTATACTTGTAGCTACGTGTTGTGCTCAGCAGAAAAGGGCTTTTGAATGCCACAGAATGGTAGGAAATAGCCTATGCCCCCATCCCGGGGCAATCCACCCCACCCTTATGGTTCTTGTCCAGAAAACACAGTGTGCTAAGGTTGCCATGAGCTCCCAAAAACCTACCTTCATAGTCTATCTGCAAAGCTGCCAACTGCTCAAATGTGGGAATGAGAAAGCCATCATCCAAGAATGCATCCAGCACAGCCTCCCTGGAGCAAAAGACCTTAATTAAGCAAACTAGCAAGCAGAAAATCTACTTCTGCTCCTCTACCCACTCCCGAGATAGCTAGCATCTCTAGTCCAGTGGACAAGGCAGAACGGGGCTATAGGAATGAAGCAGGTAACAGACGCTTGGATCATAGGTCTCACCCTCTTAGAAGGATGAATTAGCAGAGAATGATCAATGGGAATTTGAACAAGAATTTAACAAGCACATGCTGAGGTAAGGTTCATAGTAAAGCTATAGAGTGATGGGACAAACCTGAACACACAGAGAAAAATCCCAGGCTCACAGAGGAGTTCAGTCTCTGGGGTTACAGGGTCGAGGGTTTCTAGATTTCAGTTCCTGCCCAGGCTATTTTAATCTTGAAAGTTCTCTAGTCATCTAATCTACTCTTCTATCTGGCTGCTCTTTCAGATTCTAGAAGCAGAAACTTTATGTACAGGATTTCTAAACTGTGATTTTGCATTTCAAGAATGACAAGAACTGAGACCAGTTAAAGAGATTGAAATCACAGCCTATAAGAGTAATTCCTTATCTTATCTAGTGCCAACCAAACCAGCAAAGCCAGAGTAGAGAGTTCCCCAAGAGAGAAATCTGCTAGTTAGCCAGTCCTCGAGAAAGAACAAGAGCTCCCATGATGTCTCAAAGACAGACAGTCATACTCATATCCTAACCTAAAAGGGGATCAAAGAAAACATGTTCATCTCATGTCTCCTCAGTTCAGTATCCACAAAGAGCAGATAAAGCAACAAACCAGCTGCTGGCTCAGAAAAACCATATAGGCCAGCACCATTTCCCAAAGTGGGTTCCCAAGCATACCTTGGGACAGACTCTCCCCTTAACAAAAGGAAGACCAGAGAGACATCCAAACACAGAGCATATGTACCGCAGAACCTGTATCCACCACTCGAAGATCAGAAGTAAACACTGGTCCTGAAGTGGTAGCCTCTATAATCGCCCTCTCTCAAAAGCTTTCCCCCTGGCAGTGTGGAAGCACCGAGAGTGAAATGGAAAAGATACATCCCCAAAATACAAAAGGAAATATGGTAAAATGGCACTTTTTTGGGGGGGGTGGCACACCTGGTGTTGCTCAGAGCTTACTTCGGGCTGTGCAATCACTCCTGGCAGGGCTCAAGGTACCATATGGAATGCCAGAGATCGAAGCCAGATTGGCCACATGCAAGGCAGGTGCCCTACCCACTGTAATATTACTCTAGCCCTAAGAAACCATGGAGAAGTAGTGTGGGTCCCCACCCATGGTGGGGTGGACAAATATACTGACAAATGTCATAATCCTGAGGACTCAATCAGTAATAGCCACCTACATAATCTCTGAAACGGAATTCAGAGTGAAAATGTTGAGGATGTTAAACAAACTCAAAGAAACTACAGAACAAAGAGACAAAAAAGCACAAGAAAATATGAAAACATAACGATAAAACTACAAACATAAATGACAGAACTGAAAAACTTGGTAGGTGAAATGAAAAACTTACTGGAAAGCCTCATCAACAAAGTAACAGCTGCTGAGAACATAATCAGTGAGCTCCAAGATGAGATGTAGAAAACCACTACACAGCAACAGAAGATGGAAAAATGCATCAAAATAGATGAATATCTGACAAGAGAATGTTAGAATGAATTCAAGAGGAAGAACATAAGAATCATAAGAATCATCGGAGTCCCAGGAAGGCAACCCTGATGAAGAAGCAACAGTGAAAGACATCATTGTTGAGACCTTTCCAGAGCTGGAGAATGCATGCACCCAGATCCAGAGACCCGAAGGATACCAGCTAAAAGAGATCCAAATAAAAGTTGTCCAATTCACGAGGAAATGGAAAAATATCCCCTGTTCATGGATGGGGAGAATCAACATCATCAAAATGGCAATACTTCCCAAAGCACTATACAAATTCAATGCAATCCCTATAAGGATACCCATGACATTCTTCAAAGAAATGGAGCAAACACTCCTGAAATTTATATGGAACAATAAGCCCCCACGAATAGCTAAAGCAATTCTTGGGAAAAAGAAAATGGGAGGAATCAACCTCCCTAACTTCAAACTCTACTACAAGGCAGTAATAATTAAAACAGCATGGTACTGGAACAAAAGCAGAGCTGCAGACCAATGGAACAGAGTTGAATATACTGACATTTCCTCCCAAACATATAATCATCTAATTTTTGATAAGGGGGCAAGAAAAGTGAAATGGAGCAGGGAAAGCCTCTTCAACAAACTGTGCTGGCAAAATTGGACGGCTACATGCAAAAAAGTGGGCTCAGATCTCTGCCTAACACCATGCACAAAAGTAAGATCAAAATGGATTTATGACCTCAACATCAGACCAGAATCCATAATGTTTATTGAAGACAAAGTCGGCAAAACTCTCCATGATATTGAAGCTAATGGTATCTTCAAAGATGTCACGCCACTGGCTGAGCAAGTGAAAACAGAGATAGACAAATGGGACTATCTTAAACTAAGAAGCTTCTGCACCTCCAAAGAAACAGTGACCAAAATACAAAGACAGCCTACAGAATGGGAAAGGATATTCACCAAGTATACATCCGACAAGGGGTTGATATCAAGGATATACAAGGTACTGGTTAAACTCCACAAGAAGAAATCACCCAACCCCATCAAAAAATGGGGTGAGGAAATGAACAGAAACTTTCGCAAAGAAGAAATTCGAATGGCAAAAAGGCACATGAGAAAATGCTCTACATCACTAATCATCAGAGAGATGCAGATCAAAACCACAATGAGATATCATTTCACACCACAGAGACTGGCCCACATCCACAAGAACAAAAGCAACCGGTGCTGGCGCGGATGTGGCGAGAAAGGGACCCTCCTTCACTGCTGGTGGGAATGCCGGCTGGTCCAATCCTTTTGGAAAACAGTATGGACGACTCTCAAAAAATTAGAATTTGATCTGCCATTTGACCCAGCTATAGCACTCCTGGGAATATATCCCAGAGAGGCAAAAAGGTATAGTCAAAGTGACATCTGCAATTGTTTGTTCATTGCAGCACTCTTTACAATAGCCAGAATCTGGAAAAAACCTGAGTGCCCAAGAACAGATGACTGGTTAAAGAAACTTTGGTACATTTACACAATGGAGTACTATGTAGCTGTTAGAAAAGATGAAGTTATGAAATTTACATACAAGTGGTACTACATGGAAAGTATCATGTTAAGCGAAATGAGTCAGAAAGAGCGGGATAGACACAGAAAGATTGCATTCATCTGGGGAACATAAAGCAACAAAAAGTGAGAGTGACACACAGGAATGGCTGAGATTAGTACCAGGAATTTTGCTCCATGAATGGAAGGCCAGCCACAGGCTCTAGGAGAAAAGGAAGCTCAGATAGAGAAGAGAGTACCAAATGAAGGGTGTTGTGAGGGCCCTCCCAGGGTGGGAGAAGCATGCTAAAAGTAGTCGATAGACCAAACATGATTGCCACTCAAAGCCTCTCTTGCAAAACACAGTACCCAAAAGAAGAGAGAGAGAACAAGGGGGAATACCCTGCCACAGAGGCAGGATGGGACGGGGGGGGGGGGATGAGGGGGGGGATGCTGGGACCCATGGGGATGGATGACGGGCACTGGTGGAGGTATGGGGACTTGATCATTGTATAACTGAAACCCAAGCACAAAATTTGTAAGCCTATAACTGTACCTCATGGTTTTTCACTAATAAAAAAAAAAGAAAAAAAAAAAAGTTGTCCAATATATATCCTAATCACAATGATGAAAACCATATATAGGCAATACAGAAAGTAGAAAGATGAAAGAAGAAATTTAGAAACAATGAAGCATCCTTAAGATTTACAGATTTGTCAAACAAAATTCTCTGTACCTGGAGATAATGGTGGGATATAGTTAAAAAAAACTCAATGAAATGAAAGTCTCACCAAGAAGACTTTACCCAGTCAGACTTTCATTTAGATTTGAAAGAAAGATACAACTTCACAGATAAACAAAAGTTCAAGAACTTTACAGACTCAAAACTATCTTAACAAAAAGAACTAAAGGGATTATTTTAAGACAGGACAAATCACACAACACCAAATTCCTACAGAAAAATGGCACAAAATTCCATGATAATCATCACTTCTCAATGTCACTGGGTTAAATGCACCAATTAAGAGATACAGTGGCTGGAGGGCTGGAGAGCTGGAGAGAGAGTACAGTGGGTATAGAGCTTGCCTTGTTTAAAGCCAACCCGGGATTGAAGCCTGGCATCCCATATGGTCCCTCAAGCACTCCTGGAGTGATCCATGAACACAGAGCCAGAAATAAGCACTGAGCATGGTTGTATGTGGCCCAAATCCCCTATCCCATCCCCCAAAAGAGACACAGAAGCCCGAGAAATAGCACAGCAATAAGGTGCTTGCCTTGTACATGGCTGAGCCTGGTTCAATCTGCAGCATGCCCATACGGTCCCCAGAGCCCCACCAGGAGTGATTCCTGAGTACAAAATCAGGAGTAAACCCTGAGAATCACCCAGTGTGACCCTAAAGGGGAAAATAAGGGCGTCACAGAGTAGCAGAACGGATTAGAAAAATTAAACTCAACATTCTGCTGCCTGCGAGAAACACATTGAATAGTCAACGCAACAAAAACTCAAAGTCAAACACTGAAAAACAATTATTCCACCAAACAACTACCTCAAAAAAGGACACAGGGGCCATACAGTTATCAGACAACATGGATTTTAGGGGAAGAAGAGACAGAACAGTGACAGGGTGCTTGCTTTGCACAGGGCCAGGCCGAGTTGATCACAGGCATCCAATATGGTCCCCCAAGCACCACCAGGAGTAATTCCTGAGTGCAGAGCCAGAAGTAACCCCTGAGTACTGTCAGGTGTTTCCCAAAAAAGAAAAAAATCATTGTTAAGAATATCTGAGAGAGAGAGAGAAAGGGAGAGGGAGAGAGGGAGAGAAAGAAGAAAAGCACCTGCGATAAAGGGGTGGGGG